TTGAAGCTTCTGCAAGTACAATTATTTTTATTCAATAGTCAGTTAATTATGTATGCCCTTCTCAACTTTCTCGAATGACATATGAAACCTTTTGTAGCTACTAAAAACTTACTTTTAAATCTTTCAATGTATCAGTAGTAAACAAAGAACAGAGATCAACTGTTGCATAACTTCGATCACACATTAAATTTTTCATTCCAAAATTATACTCTTCTTGAGTGGAAATTTGCGCTGTGTCCAGTGTAAAACCATACGAACTAGAAACTTGTAATGAAACCTGGAAAGTAATAAATTTTATTATTATATTGTCAAAATATAGTTAACAACATTTATGAGTATTTTCTTACATTTTTTAGTTCTCCTTGAAGACAACAAATGACAATTTGGCAACCTTTTCCCTTTGTGATGGTTCTCACCATATCACCGAAACTATGATCTCGAGAATTACCAATGTGATCCTCTGAAAAGAAAAACGCTATTAATGTAACTTTCGTGTTTTTGCTGCAGTATTATTGTTTAATAATTTACGTAGCGTCCATTGAAAGACCTTGCAGTTCTGGGAACAACTTCATCAAGAAACTCTTCTTTCGTGTGTCGCTGACTGTTGTAAACACTTCGCAGCCATTATTCAGAGCGATAGCTATGGCAGCTTGTCCCAGCGCACCTGTTCCGCCGTGGACAAGTATTGTATACCGAGGCAAAAGCTCAAGTTTTTTAATCTGGAAAATTATTGTTAATGTTTCATACATTACTAATTTCAATGTTTGGCGTAGTTTATAGAATTTAACGTGTGTAAAGTCTCAAATCTATCACACGGTATGGACAGCATACTCACGTAGCAATAAAATGCGTGCAAATATGCCGAAGGCACTGTAACAGCATCTTCCAAACTCCAATGCACTGGCACTGGCCACAACATTTCTGGACGAGCTTTAACGCGAGAACTTGCTGCGCCGCTTGGTAATATACCCATGACTCTTTCGCCACTAAAATTTGATAAAAATATCTTTAAAGCACCTTTTTAATTTACAAGGTTTGAACGGTTTCATGTAAGGATGATTTCATTGTGTGGGCCAAAAAAATGTTATTTTATACAAAATGATGTCATTAGGTAATGCTAACGAACTGTCGATATCAGTTTAAAGCTTTTTGATATCTCTTATTTTTATGGAATAATCGCTTATACTGAATGATCTTGACATTTGGCAGGTTTTTCGTCATGCGTACACTAACCAGATGGGTTTTGAAGGCCTACCACCAGCAGAGCACTTGGTAGCTCAGTATGCCCTTAGTCGCCTCGTACGATATCCGTGGGAAGAGAAAGTGGCGATGAGTTGCATTCTAATCTGTCATGACACGGTGTATATATGGCCGCCATACGAATGTTCATCGGCGGCAGAAAAAAAATTACTTTGATCCCTTTGAAAATTAGCACATGCCTATGGGTGTTTGATAATAATTTACAGTCAGAGTTTATTTAAAAAATTATGTTCTGCGGCCTTTCTCGATGTGTAGTATTTGTGTTTTCAACGCCACCTGATGGCGGCGAGAGAAGAGTCCTTACAGTATTGAATAGTGACACCTCCACAACACTCTTCTACTCTCCGTGAGGGGGCGCAGCGTCCGTAGTTTCAAACGTTCCAGAAGCACTCTCCCATATTTCATCGACGACACCACAACGATCGTTCGTTTATCATAATTTTCTTTCGGTCGTCATATTGTATTTAACTATGTAAAGGATTGCATTTAATATCCTAAATGCAAATTAAATAAATCACTTCATTGAAGAGTCTCGTCTGTCCCGAAGCTTGTTACACACGCAACCCAAAAACATGCAGCAAGTCTGTGATCGGGTGTGGCACAAGGGAATGTTGGGAATGTTCGCCAAAGACAGACTTCCACATTCGATATTTCTTCTCATGGAGTCGTACCTGTCGGGTCGTTCCTTCCAAGTTAAACACAGAGAAGCGCGATCAAACAACGTACAATGTTCTGGCAGGTGTACTACAGGGCTCAGTACTCGGCCCGGTTCTGTATAGCATCTTCACATCGGACTTGCCGATATCGGATAATATCACAGTTGCTACATACGCCGATGATTTGCATTGCCTTTTGTCCGTTGATGGGAATTCTGTTAAAGCTAGCACAAATCTCCAACTCCAACTAGATCATACCCATAGGTAATTCTGTATATGGCGTATCCGAACTAGTGCTACCAAATCTCATGTCACATTTGCATTGAGAAAACGAAACTGTAATCCATTAAGTCTTGACAATGAAACATTACCACATTCTGATTATGTGAAGTATATTGGTTTTCACATAGACAGACATCTCACATGAAGCATCACATAAAACGGAAATGTGATGAAATCAGTCTCACACATCGTAACCTACATTGATTTATGCGAAGGAATTCAGCATTATCGGTAGACTACAAACTCCTAATCTACAACTCAGTCTTAAAACCCATTTGGACATATGGTATTCAGCTATGGGGTGTGTAAGGTTAGCAAGAGCAATAAATATACTTTGTCTCTGACGAGTGACGTGACGAGAATTGTATCCTAAGGATAATAATAGTATATGTCCCTTAATTCATTCGGAAATAAGAGGAAATAAGAGATCCATGATCTCCTTGACATGCTATCGGTAGGTGCTTCAATCTTTATTTTATGACATCAAGAGACGGGATGAACAAGTCGTGCGCCTGGCGGTAAGCGACACGCCTATTCATGATGGTTGCAGTGCCACTTAGAGAGTTAAATTGCAAAGATCTAAGAGGCACTGCCAGTGAGCTCGTTACTCTGAGACATAAGTTGACACGTCTCATGTGCCTGTAATTTCACCAGTACCCTTACCTTTCAATACCGGAACGCAGTAATGTTCACATTACTGCTTGGCGGCAGAAATAGGTAAGGTTCTAAGAACTTCCCTGGATGAACTCTTTCGCAAGGAGCTCTACTGGTAGGTACTAATTGGCTGACATAAAACTAAGCACAAAGAACGTCTATCCCGCCACCCGAACCCACTTGTCGCGGAATTTCTAGATCCATCGACTATGGTCAAGCGGCTATAGTTTGGAGGTGTGGCACTGGCGACACAAAAACGTTCTTTCTCGTTTAAATGATTAGCTCATGGCTTAACGGCCGGCTGTGCAAATAAAGTAACATATTAAAAAATATATATTTTTTGCCATTTTTCAATATGCTTTTCTGCAGTAGAAAAAAATATTGTAACTCAACTGCAAATCGGCAAAATATCTTCAATCATAATTTAGAGTAAAAAATAGAGTGTTTATCTACACGACGTATTCAGTAATATACCCGCATTGTAGTTAAGTTAGGTACGTAATAATCAAACGTCGTAATGTATTAAAGTATTCATGGGACTTGTCAACATATGTCTCAGGCTATCGGGCGCCGTGGCTGTGCACTCACATCTTTGCGATTTAAAGCTCTGAGTGGCACTGCAACTGTTAGGGACAGGCGTGTCGCTTACCACTACTGCCAAATGTTTGCTGGGGGCAACCGAAAGTGTATTTCAACTTTTCGTCCTTCTGTCAACTGTTCATCAATGGTTCGCTTTTTAAAAGATTTTGGGGTCTTAGGCAGCGGCAAACACAACATAATGTGTATGGTAGGTGGTTGTATAGTGAAAGACAAGTGCCGAGCTTTGTTCTGTTCATTTCGTCCACTTTATCTTGCTCTGGATATCTCTGGATATCTATCTCTAATGCCGTAACTGTGTACCTGTGCATGCGGAGGAAGCGACTGTGGCGCTGCATATCACTGTTTTGTATAATAATTATGATCAATTTGTATAATCACTACCTCAATCATATTAATAATGATAACTACAATTGTGTTTAAAATGTGTGTATATATATATATATATATATATATATATATATATATATCTAAATTATGATAATGCAGCCTCAAAAACATAATTAGGAACGTAGCGTTAGAATGCGAGTGAATGACGAGAGTGAAGGAGAGGATTGAGTGAGTGAGAGAATGAGGAGGAGGAATGGTGGTTAGGAAGGGAGAGATTTTGGATAGTCATGTTATTTGTTATAAAAATTGAAAAGAAATAAAAGAAGAAGTTACGAGCCAAAATTTACGAATTGTAATTACAACGGAGAACATCCCACCCCATCCCATCGACATATATAAAATAATATGATATTTCAATGGTTAAATTCGACATTTCTTCTATTTATTGAATATACCGGCTGGTCGAGCTCCAGGTATACCACATTCCGCAGTATAAGCACACCCCGTAATCTAAGCCTGACCACGCGCCACAAGCCGAGCTCTACCCCACCGTATGTAGGGTACAGGGCTCGTATAGTTATAAACTTACCAATCAGTAACTCCGCTGAAGTCCATGCCATAAGAACTAGCATCAGATGATTTATTTTGGCTATCTAATGGTGATATGCCTGTGGCCTTTTTAACGTCGAGATTGTTTATAGCTGTATAATGTACCTGTAGGAATATTTACACTTTTTTACCCTTATGCATTACAAAGACTACTTTTGGTTGGCACAGGTTTTTTATTTGTTATGTTTGCGGCTAAACAGCAACGCATTAGGTACGTAAGGCAATATGTCAACCATCGTAAAATTAATTACCCTTGAGATAATTACCGTCACTGGTATGCCAGATTCTGTAGATTCTGCTTGTTCGAACCAGCGCAAAGTATCGAGGTTGCCAATTGCTCCACTACGAAGAGTAATTCCTCTCACAGTCGACACATTTTCTCGCCATTTTACGTAATATTCTCCTCCCCACATACTCTACAAATTAAATAAGATAGTGAGTTAAGCGTTGTGTTGAGTGATATACACTATACAATTATGTAATATATACTTTACATGTTTTAATACGCTGTATGTCAATTCCAATCTAGGTAAGTGGTCTAGAGTTTCCTTTTCTGACGTCATTATCAGATATATTTGATTACGGTCTGAATCTTTCCTCTTGTCTTTCACAAAGTCTTTCAGTCCTGGTACTGTAGGATACGGTGACATTACTACTAGCTTATGTTTCTGTGGCAATTTCGTCCATGTTGACGCTAAATCACTCAATTCTAATTCAGACCGCACTGTAACCACAGTGGTGGCCGATGTTGTATCCACGGGTCTCCACTTTACCAAATCTATTTTTGAATTATTAACATTGTGTGTAGACAAAACGTTGTATAAAGTTAAAAGCGGAGCATTGGCTGCAGATTGTTCGATGGTTATAATGAACATGTCGCGAGGAAGTACGTGATAAAGCATTTGACGTAACTAGAAAATAAAATCGCAATAATAATACCATGCAATAAGTTTGGTTGAAGTTTGTTTTCATAGAACTAAGTAACAAAGTTGCAGAAGAAAAGCAGAGAAATATGAGTATTTCAATCTAGGGAACATCAACACACAGATTTTACAAAGTAATGCGGGTACTGGCATTGTGTACATTTCGTACGTACGTTTTCATCTGCTGCAAGATTTTGCACTAAAACGAGATCAACATTAGTCAAAAAGTAGTCTCTCATTTCTAAAATCTTTTCCCCTGGAGCATCTTCATAATTTACAATTAATCCAGGTATATCATCATAAATGTCTCTCATAACTTCAAATACATTGGAATATGTTTGAGAATTAAAGAGTCCCACAGCTGTTATAGCATCTTTATTAATGTTTTCTGACACTATTTGTAGGTAGACTTCTATTGCTGTACAAATCTAAAATTAAAACAAAACCATTTTTCTTTTGTGTTCCTTTTTTTAAGTGATTTTTATCTTTCCACAGTAAAGTTTACTTACGTCAGTATGAGACAAGAAACGAGGTATAAATCTCAATATCCTTAATGCCGCAGTCCCTTCATCGTGTACAGGCAACTTACGTAATTGAATGTCTTCAATTACCACTCCTCCACATCGAGTTGTAAGGTCATTTACGAATATATTTGCAAGCATAACGCTTTTATTATCAGTAGTCAAAAGTTTATTATTAAAATGCTCTTTGATGTCGATGGTGAGTCGTCTTAATTGGTAAGGCTGGCAAACAGAATCATATGTGCCTCTAAGAATATGTAATTGTAAAATACCATCTAAAAATGTTACCCAGTTGTTATTCCACGTTATTTGAGCTTCAGTGAAAGTTGGATTAACTTTGTGAATAGAGCGAAATTCGTCTCTGAAAAGAATTATAAAGTGTCAATGCGAAAATCAAGCTAATGATAAAAATTATTATTATATAGTATTTCGTATAAAAGTTAATGTCGTAAAACTAACTTGTACTGATAATCTCTCTCTTGCAGCATCTTATAAACATCTTCACATTTGAATTCTAACTTCTCTTTAGATTCGAAAGACAGATTAAATGCTGTCTTAGTCTCCTTGAGTTCATGGAATATGAGTCCGCGTGCTACTTTCCTATTGTTATCCATAACCTGTTGTTATAGTAACAAAAAACGTGAGTCAAAACAAAATTACTCATTTTTTAAAATAAAACTATTAGTAAAATTAAACATTAAATACTGGATGCATGTTTGAAGTAATACAGTGATACACAGACCAAAATAAATTAATATCACGAATTAACATCGACAAACAGTGTCTCTATACCTACAGTAAGAAATGTACCTAATTACCATTATCTAGTATACAGTATCTAATTACCTCAAAACGGCCACTTCCTCTTTGCAATGTAACGCTAAGCTCGAGACGTCTCTGATCGTGTATGGGTGGCTGCGCATACAAGTAAACGTGTCTAAACTCCACGGTGTGACGACGAGGTTTAACACATAATGTCATAGCCAGAGTATCCCACACAGCCATTAGTACAGCAGAAAATGGGTACAGATTCTTTTCTGGAGAAAACAACATAGTTAAGAATATAAGAATTAGGGTAAGTCAGCTCAAAGCTGTTATCTTAACTTTGAGTCAAATTAAAACTAATAAGACAATAATAATTTGTTACGATCTTTATACTAATTGACGTAGTATTTATTTAATGTAGTTTTGTAAAAGCCAATTTCAGACAAGTTTACAAACAAGACCATAGTTAGCAAATTCACTGAACCGTACCCAAAAACCGTTTTGCCCGAGGGCGTGCCTAAAGCAGTTACTAGTTTTGGGCAAAGTGGACACACATCAAGTTCTGTGGAAAATAATAATTGTGGACGATGATAACATTAAATGCGGAATGTGACAGAAGCTTTTCATTTAAAAACATACAATGAATACTTAGTTCCATAAATCAACTAACACAGCCAAAACAAAATACAAAAAATCGTCAGAACACAAAACGAAAAAGTTATTTTCATAAATAAAAAATAAAAATTCCACTTCTACAGAAAAATCATCAGAACACGAAGCGAGAAACATTGCCTTGTTATGAAACAAAGAAAATAAGTTTTGAAGCAAAGTTAATGATTAAGATTATAAATCAGTCTTATGTAGTTACAAATAATAATAAATTATGATCACCGAAAAGATAATATTTATAAGATTCAAGACAAGTATCACAAAAGTAAGACCCGATACCCGAGTAGGACGTACATATACATGTACACGCACCATGTGCCCATAGGTGCCAATCGTCACACCGAATCCAATCTTCGATAGGTGGTCTGAGTATAGCTCCAACAAATAAGCCAAAAATGTTTTTATGTTAGCATAACCTTTTGCGTCTTAATACTTGTTTACATGAGATGGTTTTGTATTACCAATATTTAATCTAAAAGTTCCTGGCATTTCAAAATATTTATCTTTAAGATTTTTTGTAACTGTTTTTGCTTTGCCTGTATCAACCTTGCGATTTTTAGCCGTCTTTTCTCTTTGCTAATTTTTGATGGGCGTCCTTTTTCGTCGGACGTCGTTGTTCAGATTTCAGCCTTCTGAGACTTTTTGCGATTGGAACTTTTTTCGGTGTGATTTTTGGTATCGACCTGAGCATCATGGGGCTTTGGTGTTGATTTGTTTCAGGAACTGCAGCCATGGGTATATTGTTTGCTTTATTTACAGAAGTACTTATCAAAATTCTCGTAACTATATCCTCTTCGTCTGTAGATGTTATATTAAGGACGTCGGATTGTACTACTGTTTGTTAGTTTACAACTATGTCAGCAATGTGAATATGAGTCCTTTTTCGAATAAAGGTGTAACGTAGTCGAAATTTTTGGTAGCAATGGTTGGACTGATATTCATGATTTGCTTAAGCACCGAAGGAGGTGTTTTGGGTGATTCCAATGTTGGTGGCAATTGGACCAATTCTTGATTGCTAGGTTCTGTGACCTTTTCAACGCAGAGTGGATTCTTCATAGTGGTTGGCAAAAAGTCACTTCACCACCTCACTTCAGGCAAAAAGTCGGAATCATTAAATATGTACCTGTTAGTGGGCCACAGCTGACAGCGTTTTGCGCTGTTGCAGGTAGGCAGAGCCAAACAAACCAGAGACGTCTCTTTGATTGATAATCCGTCCGTCATGTGTTTTCTGAAATGTCGCCATAGTCTGGTCAAAATATGTTTTTAATGGCCCATACACGCAGATATCCAATTGTTGCATTCGATGAGTTGTATGGGGTGGCAATGACTCAAGAATTATATGATTTTTAGATGCAATCTCTAAAGCTGGTAGATACTTGTGAGATTCATGATCGTCAAAGACAAGTAATATTTTTTTGCGGCTGGCAGTCGAACAGTATTCACAAAAAAATCCACAAGTGCTGGGCCTTTAATCCAGCCATTGTCATTGACACTATGTACCTGATGGTGCATCATCCAAAAAGTAGCACAGCATCTTTTTCTGGCAAAAATCGGCATCGGGGGCACTAACGACCCTGCGGCATTGCATCAACAGATATTTATTATTATTGTAGTCCTTCCTTGCTCGGTACTGGCAATGTGACCTACTTGCTTTTTATCGGATTTTGTTAAAATTCTTGGGGGTTTGTTTGCAGACGTTTGTACTCTTGTTTCATCCATGTTATAAAGTCGAGTTGCATCAATTGATGCTTTTCGATTTTGGTTTTAATTGTGTAAAAAAATCGGCATACCTGATGCTTATTAAATCCCCTCGCTCTGGCTATAGACGTGGGTTTTGGTCGCCGTAACGTCAAGTCGGGATGACACACGATAAATCCTTTGAAAAAATCAGCGGCGCCGTTTTTGAATGGGTGAGTAATGTTATTAACTTCAGCATATTGAAACACGAGCTTCAGGAAGTCGTCTTTCGTGAGACCGAAGAATAAGTTGTCCATATTAAAAATATATTCTAATAGCTCTTGTTCCTGGTTGGGTGTAAATTCTGGTACAAATCTTCCAAGCTCCATGGTAGCTGATCCCGTTTCCATATTTTCTTAATTTCGTGAGAGAGATTTGGTATTTTTTTTGCAACATATTTTTTTTATTAATAAACTTTTGGCTAATAAACTTGCTTATTCTACATGCAGCTATGGCTCTAAAAACCATTGCGGGTTTATCTGTCCACAGCGATTCGCTCTAACAAGTATTTTTTTAGTTTGTTTTTATATTCTCCTTCCATATACGAATCTTGAATGCACGCATGCAATTTATTCAGTAATTTAGAAATTACATAATCTAATTTCCGAGTACCGTACACGTTACTCGTTTTACGGAGTACATATTTCTTAGTAATTAAGATTCTTAAACTGTTTGATTTCTGGTATGCAATTAAATTTTGTACATAATTAAATTCAGTTAAAATAGACAACTTGACTTTATCAGAAACACTCATTATTTTACAATAACTGAACAAACCAGTGTCATTATCTCTATATCTAGTTTTCATAAATTTTGGAACAATGGTTTTTACAATTCTGACTTGCAAGTTATAAATGTCTTTCAGGTATGTATTATATGTCAGACCATAACTGCTTAAGCCGTAGCCAATTACAGAGTCAGCTAGGATTTTATGAGATAGCTTATATTTAGGTATTCATATTAGTGTGGTCCCCAACTAAATCCGCTATCGATAACAAGGTCAATATACATGTAACTTTCTACAACTTCTCAGGATTGACATAAACAAACATTTGTAGAATTGCAAACTTTGATGGCTATGGGAAATGGTGGTCGGTTTGTCAGGTGCTTTATTGTGTGACGAGGGCATCTCTGGCGGACCCGGACTTGGGTATGGACTCCCTGGGGTTTGTGGTTAGCTGCCCCCGGTTTTGCATGTTTCCGGGGCGCCTGTCTCGTGAGCAGCTAGCGCGTCTTAGTAGCGGTCTAGTTGAGGGCCTGCAGCGAGGAGACGCGCGGGGCACGTGAGTTGCCCTTTAAGTTGGAAGCTATGTCCGGACATTGTCGCAGGACACTGCGACTGGCATCTCCGGCGCTAGCCCGGAGAGCTGGCAGAGGATAAGCGAGATATCCTCCGGTCTCTCCAGCCGCTTAGGTTATTGAGAACTGGAGAGACGTCCTTTTTCGGGGTCGGGAAGTGAGCGTGCCTTACAGCTCAGCCACCAATGAGGAAGTTTGGTAGTGGACTCAGAGTCGACGGCTAACGGTGGCAACCGCTAGTTGTGCAATGCGCAATGGGAAGTGAGCGTGCCTACAGCTCCGGTACCTCTCTGGAAAATAGGGAGGGTATTGTACGTGCACCCGGGGCGGCTCACCCGAGGCACTAGCCTCTGGAAGAACCGGATGAAGTCATGTGACAGAGGTCTGTGACAATCCTGTACACTGGCTGATCTGGGTTCAGAACCTGAACTTATAAGGTTCTTGTGCGCGCATAGGTTATAGTGCTTTTCTCGTATGCCCAAAGGGTAGGTAGGGAGAGTCACTATCATCAAAACTAACGTAGAAAGATATGGGAGCTTAACCCTACGTCGTGGGCCCATTCACATAACTGATTTAAATCCTCTTGCGTGTCAGTCTGTGACGCATTTAAGTTCTTACTGGCTAATAAAAGACCAAGTGTCATCAGCAAACTAGTATAAAGAACCCTTTCTAATGACAATAGACAGTCATTCACATAAAGTAAATATTGGGTAGGCTTAAAAATCGAATCTTTGGCTGTGTCTTGTTCAGTTAGTGCTAAATTACTAAAATCATTTACTATTTTACGTGTATCGGCTGGAATGATAATGTTGAAACAATTCTAACAAATCCCTGTATATCAGCCCTTGAAAGCCTGTCATAAAGTATTTCATAATTCAACACATCGAATGCCTTAATAAAATATTACAAGCACATGCATTTTTTTTTGTCTAAATAATTATTTACTTATTAGAAAAATTACGCAAAAGCTGTGTTGTGCTTTAGTTTTTCTGAAATCCATATTGTTTTGTATTATATTTTTCAAAAGATTTATTTACTTTTATTTCTTCGAAAGCACGTGCCATGATGCCTGTGTGGTTTTACGATTATAATTATTCATTATCTGCAAGAAACAACTTTGTTATTTATACATCCATTCCTATTCTGGACAAAGTGGCTAGGTAACCACTTTACCCGAGCCGCTTAGACCTTTGATTTGTTTGACCTTTTTATTTTAAAACGAAATTCTAACCTACAAAATGTAACTATACCTTCAAACAAATATTACAAAAGCACTGCCATTTGGCAGTGCATATAATATAGTATAATCATAGCAATAATATACAAAGAAAGTAAGGTTTGATCAAAGCGAAATTAACTTACCTTGAATAATTTTACAGAATAGAATTAATTTAAAATTTTCGGCATATGAGCGTAAGGCTATCCTGCCTTGTAAAAAGGTATCAATAACATTTGAACTAACTGGGTAATCGAGCATAGCCGCTTTGTCTCCTATGGCCGCTTTGAGCTGACTTCCCCTACGTACATCAACAATAGTCAGAACAATTGTATATGATCTACCACATAAACATTAACAGTTGGTGTTGCGCAAATACCGTGGGGTACCCGTTGCGTCAGCCTGCAGACGGTGAAAACTGCCTGTGCGAAAACGACACTGGCGTAAGTCAATATGTGGCGCATGAAAGATGTGTAGTCTCACCTTATTTCTAACGAGTGTTTAATACACTTATTGAGGAAAGAGTGGACTCGATTCATGACAAATTGAGTGCGATCGCGAACGGTTTTCACGTGTGTCTTGAAGGGCAATTTCTATATTTAGATATTTGACCGTGTTTCCTAAGGAATTGTACTCTACGACAGGACAGGTTGCTTAATCTCGATTCTTTATTTGCATATGGTGGTGCATTAGAGTCGTGGAAACCAATATTGGGTTGTTCGTCAATGTCACCGACAAAGAGAGCGAGATTTGCTGAGTGGATACTTCAGTAAGTCGCTAGTGTACAAGGGGAGGGCAAAGGCTATGGAGCCATGCAAAACTCCGGTTCTTAAGAGTTGAGGCGTAGAAAATGCGCTCTCGAGTTGATAACGAAAGGAGCGATTTGACAAGAAGTCTCGAAAGATATGCACAAGACGATCAAGCACACCGAGATCATACAATTTGTACAGTAAGCCGTCTTGTTGCCAGATGTTGTCAAAGCGTTTTGCCGTATCGTTGTATCGCGTGTTGCCGTATCGTGGGCAGATATCGGGAAAGGACGAAGCGTTCAGTCGTTCAGTGATGTGCTCGACTCTGCGGCTGCTCCCCTACACGGTGATGTTTTCGGCGTCCACGCCACGTAATAATCGAGTAATAATTCATAACAAACTCGAGAGATAGCGCCTTAAGTAGGCAATCGCTTATGTATAAGAAATTATAATCAATTAATAAGCTTGCCTGACAAAAATAATGCTCTAAAAGCCTACCTCTAATAACATGACCTCGTAAATAGCTGTGTTCGTCGTCATGAATTGAAACAACAGTTTTGGTAGTTGCAGCAGTTTTTGTACGCGAGATGGAATAAAGCGGCACCGTCCTGGAAAAACACCTGTGTCATTATATTCTAACAAAAACCTCTTAGCTATTAAAATGGTGTTTAATTTCTATAAGTAATCCGATCGTGTAGTTGATGTAAATAAATGAGTAAGCCTATCCAGTGTATAAGATGCTTCGCGGCGCATATAACTATCAAATACAAGGCACTTAATGGCAGACACATTATTCGAATGTTTTATTTATCTCCCGACCAACGTGTACTAGCATTTGACTCTTTCCGTAGATGGTGATCAGACCTGACAGGCTCGTTTCCCATGATAATAAACACTGGAATATTCAATGCTACCAATCCAATTATTTAAAAAACAATGTCTCAAGTGCAATTTAATTCTAACTTTGTGATAGATTATGGGTATGGATGGTGTCCGCAACTCTTATGTCTGGCGCCTATTTTGCATGTGGTGTTATTGTGTAGGAATTAAACGGGAAAAGCAATAAAATAATTGTAAGTAACAATAATACATTCATGCATCAATTAAAGAATTTAAGCACCATTTCATAACCACGAATGATCTTCAGTCGTTTATAAAGCTCGTGATAATATTGCGTCATCAATTAAGTATACATTAAACGCCATGTTGAATAGAAAACCCCCGAAATATGAAAATACGTGAGAGGATCGGTGCTCTGTCAGCCACCAGATATACTTGATACATGCATGGATCTATAAATCCGAATCTGAACCTCTAAATCTGAATCCAGAAATGGTTTAAATGAAAATTATATCTGAACACACGGTTATCATTTTTGAAACACATATTTGAGTACATATTGCGTAGAGCAGAATTTGTAACACTTAGGGTTATTCACTTTAGTAGATATTCTAGTGTAAACGAGAGCATATCATTAGTACTAAACACAAAAACAAACAAAAAAGGTGATACCTACACATAATATTCAAATTCTGCATATCAAATATTGCGATACGATTTTGTGAAAGAGTTAGATTTCGTATGCACTAAAGAAAATAGAGATATAAATGAAATATATGTATAAAAAAAGTTATGACAATGAGATATATATTAAAAAATATAGAAGAATTAAATATATAAAAAATCAATTCCGCCTACGACTATGCGTTATGATTATGCGTATTATGCGTTATGCGTTATGTTATTACTAAGAGTAGAAAATAAAGACGGCAAACATGTTATTTTAACTGGTTTTCATCTTCTGCCTGCGGTGGCCATGTTGATACTAGACAAATGTCACGGTATGGTCATGGGATATTATTTTTAGCCAATAATCGTATATACGTAAATTGGCCACAAATACATAATAAGAAATATTTAAATGCTAGAAACATTCATTGCTGGTTACGGAAGCAATGAATCTTACTATTGCATCGAATACGGCATTCTACGAAGAAACATTGGTTTTTCTTTGACATCCGAATCACGTCTATCTATAATTACAGCTTACAAGAGAAATTGCAGATCAACACACCATTTCTCGTGATGAGCCCACTCCACATAATGCGATAACATTGGTGTGCCCATGGACACGGGAAAGTCTACTTTTGGATACAAAAGCTCCACTTTCGAGTGAAATCCTTCCATGTACAATCTGAAAAATTATAAATAGTTTGGACATTTGAAGAATATTCCATAAATTGTATTAGTTTTTAGATCATGTGTGTATTGTACTTACTTGCCGATAGCATCCAATACCATAAAAGCATTGTCAGGATGTTCTCGTCTAGTAAGAGGAATATGTTTACAAGATTCCGGCAACGACCGCTTGAGTATAGCTTGCAGAAGGCCGTGAGGAGCTATCTCAACCAGCACTGCGTTTCCAGTCACGCGCCGAGCGGTTTCCTCAAATAGTACTGGATTCTGTAAAACGAAACAAACGGGTGACGCGTGGCTCATAATAAAGTACCACGTTTCGATATTTCCGCGTTAAATTCTCACCAGCAAATTGTTGGTGTGATATTCGGCTGAGGAGTATTTAGCGAGAGGCTCATTCCATTTCGCTTCTGGTACGGACGTTGACAACCATTTTTCCGACCGTGGCTTCGGATTTTTGATTACTTCATTTAAATATTTTAGTAAGCCGGGACCTAAATATGATAGTGGAGAACATTATCCATTAAATTAAAATTATAATTAAAAATAAAAAAGTGATTGATGGTGGAAAATACTGTGTAAAAAAACAAAGTATTTTCCACCATAAATCACATTCACACTCACCTGCTTCAGCTATGTATCGGGAATGATAAGCAATATTTGAACACGGAACCTCTTTCGCGAAGACACCTTTAGCCGTCAATTCAGCTACAAACGTTTTCATTATTTCGGCTGGTCCTGAAATGGTGCTAGATTCTGGCCCATTGTGGCAGGCCACTTCAATCTCTGGTGGCAATAATTCTTTAACCTGAGTTGACAAATATTTATGTGAATGCAATATTTCGAAGCTATCAATTAAAATGTTTCTAAGTATCATGCTTACTTGTTCATATCCGAGTCCAACAGCAGCCATAGAACCACGAATAAAAGGAGTTTGAATAGACACTAGACCTCGGCTGTACGCTGAAAGTATCATCTCTTCCGCTGTGAAACAGCCGTCCGCATAAGCGCAGCCCAATTCACCAACACTGTGACCTACAAGTAGGGTTGTTTGCTTATTTAAATTTACATCCAGACAATACTTAAACTCACACAACTGTAAAATATTGAAAGGTCTTTAATCTAGAAACATAGAAATAATGATGGAAATATCTATTTACCAATGATATTATCAGGCACCAATCCTAACGCAGTAAGAATATCAGTAAGGCCAATCTGAATGGCTGCAATTCCAAGAAATGAATTGAGGATGTTATCGAAGATTGTTTTGTCCTCTGACGTAATAATACGAATTATATCTACACCCTTCGGTTCCAGGACTTTGTTGCATCTGAAACATAGAAACGAACAAAATATAAGCTTTCTACGAGATAGTTAACCTAACCTGCCTCCGTGGCCGAACGGTTATCATGCCGGACTGCCACGCAGAGGTCCCAGGTTCGATTCCCGGGCCGGGAGAAATATTTGTATGACCTACATTTATTTCTCTCGTGAGTTTGGGTGTAATGTGTGGTTGTCTATGTGTGTGTCCATGGCACCCGCGACACAGGGTTTCCCTAGTGCGGGGCTATGTTGGTTGTGAGCGTTATTATTATTATTATTATTAAATCAAACTAGCTTAAAGGATAAAAATACCGTTCAATAGCAGCCGCGAAGATAGGAATGCGCATAAGCGTAACTCCCATACCCGCCCACTGCGAGCCCATACCGCTGTACACGAACCAAAGTGGACGTTTGCCTTCATCAGAATAGTTGGCTGTTTCTGCTAAAGTGATTGTTTCTCCATTCTCATTCTTACCTACAAGGAAGTAATTCGAAATTACCCCAACTTTTCGTGGTTTCATTTTATTAAAATTTATGTATATATTAGACTTCTTACTAAGTATAGAATATCCTCTCCCCAAATGTCCCGAAATGGACAGCTGGTGTATATTACGTAACAAAGCAAGTTCTTCTTCGTCTATAGACCGAGACTTGAGGTCATTAAGAATTTTCTGCACAGATGTGTCTTGTCTTGCTGAGATCGTTACAAGTTGGGGTATCGATGATTTATAATGTGCTAAATCCTAGAAATAATAAAAGTTTCAACTTGAATAAGTTCTACGACTACTTTTAATATTTATTTGAATTAGATAAATAACAAAATAATAAATAGGCTTAGAATAATACGAAAATGTTGAAGATAAAGTCATACCTTGGACTTACTATAACCTTTCAATAAGACATGGGCATTGACACCAGTAACAGATCTGCCGTTGACAGCAGCGTACGACCGCTTGAATGGCTTATGTTCAGTAACGATTTCCATCTTGCCGTTTCGTAGAGCCATAATGTCACGTCTTGGGTTCTCACAATGCAAATTTGCTGCAATCTCGCCTCTCTGGTAACCTAGTAACACCTAATTAAAAGTAAAAATTAATATACCAAATATCGAAGACAGGAGCTGAAATTGAAAGGATTATGCTACCTTTACAATACCAGATATTCCAGACGCAGCCTCTCCATAGCCAATGTTGGACATGATGCTGCCAACGAGTAGTGGATTTTGACGGTTCTTGCACAATGCTTGCTCAAGGGCTTCTAACTCTGAACGATCTGACTCTGGTGTAGCTAAAGGTATGTATGACTTGATATCAATTTAGGAGTATTATATAAAAAGAAAATTTTCATAGGGCGAGAATGAAGTTTCGACGAACGCATTATCACCTAAATTTTATTGTTATATTGAAACTATAAATCTGTAGTGTAAAGAAGAATCGTAATGAAACTGTGGGTGCACGTTAAATAATCTAAAAACGATTTATGACAGGACACCTGCATAAATGCAACAAATGATACTGTTAAAAGACATTTTCATGTAGCAATTAAGTGGAAATATAATTTTTACCCGAGCCAAAGGCTTCAATATACTCCACAAAATGAGGTGGCACTTTTGCTTCATCGTACATGGTTTTTATAAAATCAGCTAAAAGTCTCGGATCCCGATTAAAACCAAACTGCGGAGCAGTTTCGCCGTCTAAAACATGGCTGAACTCGTTTTTAACGTGTATAACTTCAGCGTAAATTCTGTGTAAAATAATATTATGTTATTATACCATGATACTTTAAGTTATAATGATAATTATGATTAGGAAAATGACAAATCCCGTACCGTTTCGCATCTTTTGCCTTTTGAAGGTAAAGCACATTGATGGCCTCAGATCTAACACACCCGTCAGCGTTTTCATCAAACGATTTAGTCTTACCATCAGAGCTTAGCTTTATGATTCTGAAAACAATTATTACGTCATCGAAAATCCGCCTTTTCACACTCGAACTCAAATAACCTTTATTTTATAGGCCAGCAAATTACACATTAAATCATCATATTAATTCAACCCTACTGCTGATTGGTAAGGCAGATTTCCTTGCGAAGAATGAGCAAGGAACTCTATTAGTTGGTTTTTGTGAATATACCATTGCACATATTTATCATTTACAATATGTACTTCAAACTTGGTAGATCGAAACTACCTGCAATAGCTAAACGGGTCTTACCTTTACCTTCTTACTTTTACCTTTGGTATAAAGTTTTATCACAAATTAATACCTAAGTTGTAACATCGCAACAACATTATCATGTTACAGAAATTTGTATCCGTCTTAATACCTTGAATAATGGAATGATGATTGTGGATGAAGTAAAATATTAGATCCTCCAACAATGGCAGCTTCGCATTCTCCACGCGCTAAAGCCTGAAACGCTTGTTCCAACGCAACGAGGGAGCTACAGCACGCTAGGTCAATAGACATGGAGGGCCCTTTTGCATTCAGCCAGTACGATATGCGATTCGCAAACATAGATTTATTGCATCTGTATGAGTAAATTATAAAACTGTTAATGACAATAAATTTCAAAAGATAAGAACTGCTTTGAAACAATTTTGTTTTTTCAGTTTTTACCCTGCAATTCCAAAACCTGTCTTAGTACCAGCATTATAAAAAACAGCCTTCTCGCTTTCAGAGATACAAGATCCTATGTACACACCCACTTTCTTGCCTGATATCTGTTGCGGATTTATGCCTATTAAAAGAAAAGTGTCAGGTAATTCAACTTATTTCATAATAGTTATTCCTGTAGGTAGATTACTTGTTAGCTTTAATGTAAGCCTAACAAGTAATCCATACCCACATAATAAATACCATTTATTCATTCATTAAAAATGAAATGGTAGTCGTCTCATTCGTACGTTTTAATTTTTTGAATGATCAAATTATCTCTGTTTCCAAATTATATCTCTTAAAATCTTGTAATGAATTTGCCTACAAAAACTTACCAGCATCGTAAATCGCCTGATAGGTCATTTCCAAAATCTTCCTGCTCATTGGGTCCATACTTTGTCCGAGCCGATAGTGAACTTTGAAAAACTGTGCGTCGAAGTACGACAGCCCTGGTACGATACCGGTAGTATTTGGTACGTCAGGATGTTTGAAGTTCCATCGGCATACCTCAGGCGACACAGGGTTTTTCTGCACAGTATTAATATCGCTATTTAACAAAACCCAATTTTCCATTGGTTAAAACTAGCTTAAACGGAGCGCGGCACGCCTTGAAGTTTGACTTCAGATAACCGGACCAAAACACAGATAAAGTCTAACAGCACGAAACGTTGGGTAGAGCTGTGATAGAGGTAGATGGACAGGTAATGCAATATGTTAATGAGTATTATCTACTTGGGCCAGTTACGAAGTTTCGAAAGAAGCATGCAAGAGAATGAAATTGTAATTGAAAAGAAATGTCGCGTTTATAAATTTTAAACTTATTTTCAGAAACTTTACTGACCACAAAGTTGACTTGTTCGTTTAGTGATGACATTGATTTCAACATCCAATATATTACAATGATTTAGTTTCGTTCCAAAAGTGAATTTTCCAAAACTTGTAATGGGCATTTCTCCAAAGCAGCAATTTTCTGTATCCATGCACTAAACTCCACTTATTTATCAAAACAAAAAACCTACCCTTCGTACCTAATGGAAAAAAATCTGAAATGCCTAAAATCTGACGACTGTGGCGTGTCCCGAATGCAGAATCCAACACAAGGGGTCAATTTCCTCAAAATTTAAACCGTATATAAATATTAGACTTTAGTTTACGTATAATAAATTAGTTGATAGTACTCATAATCTAAAATTCACAATAAACTAGATAATACTTTTATGATTATGACAATACCAAGATTGCTGCGTGTCCCAGACTTACTCGGGAATTCGGTGGTCGTTACTAATCACGCTACACATCACCAGTGAACCATTTTAGTAGCTTCGCAGTTCGACAGTATTATTCGTCTATAAGCCCCTGAGGCTGGAGAGAACAGGCGAATGATTCGTTGCCAATTCTAGGACTTTTTGCGTGAAAATACGTAATTCGGTGGATTCGGCTTATACGATATTTCAAAAACTAAATTTTATGGTTGTATGTCATATTTTTTATAATTATGTGTTGTAACAATTATAATATAATAACAATTTATTGGTTTAACAAGTATGTCATTCACGAGTACCGTCAAAAATTTTTGAATCCTATGGCCTTGGATTCGGTAAATTTTATGCCGCCGAATTCAAATAAAAAATATGCCATCAAAGCCATATTATCTTTGAAAAGCGAGAATTTTTTACGTTTTTTTATACAAATGACTTTCACATTATTGATTTTCACAATTTTATATGACTACTTGCTTGCTACTGAAAATGAATAAGGAAAATCAAAACAGAAAATAAAAAAGATGAAGGTACATAATTTTTAAGAATCTAGTTGTCCAATTAACGGAATCGTATGTAAGTTTGAGTTCTTTTTAACCGACTTAAAAAAAAGGAGGAGGTTCTCAATTCGACTGTATGTTCTTTTTTTTCTTCTTTTTTGTATGTATGTTACGCGATAACTCCGATATTTGTGAACCGATTTTCATGATTCTTTTTTTGTTGGAAAGGGGGTACTTCGATAGTGGTCCCATTTCATTTTGAAGAAAATCATCCACCTTTAAGGGTGGCTGTTCACGCATGAAGATTCATTTTTATAAATAGCGGCTAACTTTAATTCAGGAGCAATTATTTTAATGCTTGATTTTGCTATTTCTCCAATTCAAGGCGTTTTTCTCTCAATATACTTTGAGTAGTGAGAACCGATTATTATTATCTCCAGTGTCAAGTCCTGTATAGTGGCCAACTAGAGGATATTTCAATAAAACTTAGCAAATAGACGTAATTCCACGTACTTTTGAGGTCGGTTTTTTTAGTACTCTGTACTGAGAGTATTACTTCATTGTTTCTATGTTTTGCATGAATTAAGAAAAAATAAATCGACCTTTGAAGTCAAAAAACTTAGCACTTCTAGGAGAAGTGCCCTAATCAATACAGTGAGAGGTGCAAGGGTTAAAATACTTGGTAAAAAATGAGGTGGGTTGAGTTATATTATATTATTATAGATATTTGTAAAACTAAACTAGGTGCTGTGTGATTTGAAAATGTGTTTCTTGGACATGCGTGGATTTTGTAGGCCCATGATAAGACACGTAAGAGATCTAAAGAATAAGGAAAGTAATTCATCGGCAAAAAATTATTATAATCTTGATAAATCATTGATATATGAGAATATTTTTTTTAAGTTTATTGAATGTCACGATGTTTTACTACCATGATATTAATTTTTTATGAAATTATTCCACTAGTTTGTTATAATAATTAATAACAAAGATCCAACATTTAGAAAAAATAATTCGATTCTACTGGATTCGAACCAGTTCCCTCAAGAAATCCGTGCCAGATGCTCTGCCAATCAAGCCGCGGAACGAACCAGCAGACCTTACGAATGTTTCTATGTGCTTCTTGCACATTTTTTTCGGTTTGTAACGACTTTTGCTGTAGAGCCATCTATGTAAAAATTAATAGATCCGGCTGGATTCGTACCAGCACACTCAGTCTAATAATAAACATTTTTTATTAACAGTCCAGCAAAATATTCTTTACCAAAAGAGTAGTGTACGAGTACACCCTTGTCTCTCTAAGCTCGTATCCAGTTGTATGACGTAAGTCCAAAATTAAAAGTAAAATTACCTTATCGTAGAGGATTTCTTCAAGGTCCTTGATATGACGTGCCCCCGGAAAAAGACCAGACATGCCAGAGATGACGATTCTCTCACCGTCCAAAACTGACGATCCTTCCTTCTTTATGTGTTGAACTGGTGTAAGCGCCATGGTTGGTGGTTTTACACCTGTGATTGTGCACATAATATTCTGGAAATATTATACAGCTAAGGTGGAAGAATGTTCATATGAGTCGTATAACATCACTTAAACCAAATCGAAGTCTAAATTATTGTAATACTTAAAATGAAAATTATTTACAAAAATCGATAAGTGTTTTCAAATTGCATTGATATCTGCCACTCTAGATATTTTGTTATCTGGGACTATCCTAGAAAATGAAACTGCTCCATCGTAACACCAACACATAAAAATGGCACATCACAAGTGAAGCATTTACAATACACATTACAAATTATCGGCCCATTATCTTAGTTACAGTTTTTTCAAAAATATTTGAAGGAGTCACATGCAATTAACTTATATCCTATTTCAATAGTTTCAAAATTATACAAGACAACCAATACGCATTTCAGAAAAATAAATCAACAGTACATGCGTCATTTCATATAATTAGCAAGATTTTACGAAATGTAAATAGAAAACTACACGACGGGTATATTTTTAGATATGACCAGAGCCTTTGACTCAGTTGCACATAATATACTGACAAAATTGGAGCATAATGGAATATGGGTGTGCCGTAAGCTGGTTAGAATAATATCTAAAAAATAGGTTATAACGTGTAGAAATAAGTCTACTAAACACACAAGACTGTATTGAAATTTATAAATCCAACTTTAAGTACAATAATTACGGAGTTCCCCAGAATATGTACTTGATCCCCTGCTGTTCCTAATATAAATTAATGATATATCTGAATGCACGGAACATGATACAATTCTTTTTGCGAACAATGTATCAGTGGTTGTCACTTTTCCAATATATTCAACATTGGATGAACACAATAATAATAATAATAATAATAATAATAACGTTTATTGCGAAACATGTTGTTACATAATAGTTCTTATAGTAGTTTACAGTATCAAACATGTACCCTGCAAGGGCGTAGCAATGTCAATTTTTTAAATACACATTTTGATTACCATTAATTAAAATATCATTATAATGGTAATTAAATCTAAACAAAATATTTTCTGAAAAGTCAATGAATTAATTGGAAAATGAATGTCAAATTGAAGTCTAAAGTCAATAATGAATTATTTAAAAAAATGAAAAATGAAGTCAATAATGAATTATTAAAAACTTTGACATTGTTAATCGAATGGCTACAAAAAAATAATCTTCAAATAAATTTATCTAAGACTAATGTAATGAATTTTAATAATTTGCGGAATTAAATAGTTAGTATGAATTATAAGGACAAGTTTTGCAGAACGCCACAGATGTGACATTTCTAGGATTCATTGTAGATTATAAGCTAGATTGGAAACAACGAACAGAGAAAGTGTGCACTAAAATAAAAAGATTTGTTTTTGGTCTGTGTAAATTGACAAGAATAGTAAATAAATGCACAGCAATGACAGCGTATTTTGCGTATGTAGGATCAGTACTCAGATACGGCTTTATTATTTGGGGGAATGGCGCAGAGTTTGGGAAAGCTTTCATTGCTCAAAAGAGGTGTATACGAGCCATCTGCAACTTAACACCAGATGCATCATGTCGCCCCCATTTTAAAACGCTACAAATATTAACTCTTATAAACATATATGCACTCGAAGCTAGTATATTTGTAAAGACGAATCAACATAAATTTATACTGGCTAAAGACATGACTGCTAGAAGCTTAAGAAACCCCAATAAAGATGGGCACAATTCCTAAGACAAAACGCTTCCAAAACAACTGTTATGCAATGTGTGGAAAGATTTTTTTATAAGCTACCGCGTCATATTAAATCACTTCCGTTGATCAGTTTCAAAAAAGAACTACGCAAATGGCTCTTAGAAAAATTATTTTATTCGGATCACGATTTTTTCAAATTTAAAGACTGATCCGTATTGAAGCATATATTAGTCTTGATTTAGCTTATCTAATATATTAATGAATTTATATAAGTCAAATGATTCGATTATGTGTTCGATCTTTTAGCGGGTCACCCGTCTCTCACGATACTTCCATAAGTACGGCGTTTAATAGTGACAAATTATACAATTAGCTTTTATTATTTCCTGCTGATGGGTAATATGTATAAAGTTAAATGCATCATTGATAAACCACACATGGAACCCTAAAATTTATTTCTAGGAAAAGTAACACCTTCAAAACAAAAATACATAATTAAAAACTTATGAGCATTCAATATTACTAATTTATTGTTCATTAATATTTTAATATAAACTAGTGCACTCATAAATAAACACAACATTCCGAAAAATAGATTATAATATACTAGATACTATACTGTACTTACCCTATTTATGGCGAATAAATGAGATTTGATTTGATATGACTTGTTAGACAATATCTATGAATTCCGACAACCACACCAGATACCACGACCGGTGAACTAATCATACTTATGCACCAAGTATGCATTTTATACTTCTTTTCAGGGTTCCTCTCCCAGTCTCTCACAAATGTGAAGGAAATCGGATAGAGAAAGAAGCTCAATATTAAGTATAACTTATATTAAGTTGTACATTGTGTATTATGGGCGGTAAATAAGAAATTACTCGAGGTCTGTAATTTTTACCGCCCGTGACACCTACAATGTCTTTCATCACATTTGCAAGGAAATAGATACAACGATAACTTATATTTTGTATAAATAAATGTCGCTTTACAGCACAACATTTTTTAAACAGACAGCCACAATGTATTAATATAAAATAAATAATTTCCAAATCCCAAAAATACAGAATTTAAATTCACAATAATTTAGTAAATTATAGTTAAATTGTGAATGTTTAGTTTTTTTTTACAGGAACTTCAAGTTTATACAAAATATACGTTCATATTTTTCTAGTATAAACACTTTGCTTAATCTTAAAAAAAAATCCATATGGTAATGCAATGAAAAACCCGTCGGCATAATTTAGGACATTAGGTCGACTTTGCATGCACGTCACAACACTGTTTATGAGCAAGTGTGATGAAATGAAATTTTTCAGTTCAAAATTGCTCATATCTGACTTTGTATTAAAACAGATCTATTTTGCACCTGACTCCACGGATGCCAATAGAGTCACTGTGAGCGCCTTTCCGCTACTTGAACTGACTAAACCTGACAAAACATTTAAGCGCCGGCTGAAAAACCTTTTCTTGGAAAACCTTTATACCCTATAAATGAATTTATGGACCTAAAAATGTAACGCTATTGAGTATTTTCTATTTTATTTTAATTTTTATCACATTGACATATTTTTGTATTTATTACTTGAGTCATGCAGGTATTTTAACTTATGACGAATTACATTTGATATGTAATAATAATATTATTATTGATGAATTGTTAATTTTATAATTTACATTTTTATTGACGATCTCAATAAAATTTCTTATACTTGACATGTAGTGCGATTTATATTGTAATATCATATTTGAATTATAAATTAATCTGAGTCTGAATCATAACATGAATACTGACTTTGTTGACAATATTACGGAATTTACAGACTGCCTAAGTAAGGTGCATGCTATTATAAGTGGTTTGATATTAAAAGTTCAAGTCGCTCGCTGTGTGTAAATTATATGAGTCATCTCATTTGTAATGTCAAACATACTCATAGTTCTTACTGCGGGAACCAAATGTCCTTTCTTTTTTTATCCAATTGTATTCAATGGTGTGTACCATATTTATTAATTAGGTGGGTACCTGTTCAGATACTTCGGATAGTTGCTTAGAGATGATGCAGAGATGCATGCATGGAGAGGGAGCGCAAAGCATTTTTAATCCCGACGAAAGTGTTGACCTGCAGCTTTACTCGATGTACAGCTGCAGTTAAAATAATGCTCTCACTCTTCTTTCTTCTCATTGCTATTCTGTACTTGTCGAGTCTATGGATCGGATGTACTAAAAAAAACTTATGCAGACGGGACGGGATGGCAAGGGATTTTTAGGTGACTAATAGTAATATACTTTACGATCATGACATTATAGTTGCAATGTGCCTCCGTGGCCGAACGGTTACCATGCCGGACTGCCACGCAGAGGTCCCAGGTTCGATTCCCAGGCCGGGAGAAATATTTCTATGGCCTACATTTATTTCTCTCGTGAGTTTGGGTGTAATTTGTGGTTATCTATGTGTGTCCATGGCACCCGTGACACAGGGTTTCCCTAGTGCGGGGCTATGTCGAGTGTGTGCGTTATTATTATTATTATTATAATGTCAATGATAATGATCGTAGCTGCAAAACTACGCTTTAGAATGCCGAGCCGGCAGTCTACGGAATGCTTAGGCAGTCTTGGGGATGCCTTAGGAGCCTTGGGAACGCTTCGGCAGCCTTCGGGATGTTTCGGAAGGCCGAGTGCTATTATGCGGGTATGTGGGGCGAGGTGAGTCACACACGGTATTACTGGTCTGATGAGAGACAAGGCGCAAGCTCGATGACGCTACGGAATGAATGCTTAAGGCATACTTAAGGCGGCCGCGTCGTATCTAGGAATACCGCGTTATAATTGCCATTAGTGTGCGCTTGCATGTAGGTACGCCAAACGCTCCCCTGCAGTGCGCATCCAGTGTAATGATAGACTAGATAGCGCGTCAGCTATGTTTGTTGAGGCATGCACAAATAGCTTCTATGCTGTATGGCGCAAGAAACTATCCTCACGTATAGATGGAGTGTGGGACAGCAGAAAGAGCATCACGAAAGTGGTATCTAATAAATTCGATTTTCCTTTGATCTGGAAGATCATTCAAAAGACAAAATCACTATTAATCACCAAATACAAATACAGGAGAACAAGGATAAATAATTTAATGTTAATAAGAATGTAATATAATAATAAAGTTTTATTCAAGTAAGCTTGACTCACAAGCACTTTTGAATAGATCAAAATCACATAAGATATTACAAAAATACACATGTTAAACAAATAAAACAATATTAACACCCCGCATTTTTATCGACCATGTATTCCTCAACA